TTATTTCAAAAATCTCCAAATAGGAAATGACATCTTTTTTCTTGGTAACAAGCAGATAATCTTAAATTTTCATTTACGTCAAACATCCTTGACTATAAATCATTCGGATAACATTCATTAGTTAATGTAGTTTATATTTAAAGTGTAAATTAAAGTGCTTACATTTTGAATTGCAATGTAAATGTTGACTTAGGCCACTGTTAAACGTCAGAATACTTTTTTTTCAAGCAAAGTTATTAAACATTCATTAAATGATAATTTTGAAAGGTTATATCTACATTTATTCCTTCATTACGCAACAGGGGAATTCGAACATAAAGAGTTTAATTTCATTTTAAATAACAAATTAAATGCAGTTTAGGAAGTGGAATAGAATTTCTTTTTAAATTAAGAACATACAACTATATCATACCAATATAAAGGTTATGATTTGAAAATAACTACATAAACGTTTATAAATAATTTTTATTAGAATTAGTCCCTTTTTAGTTTTTAGAAAATTGGATTTGCTTTCGGTGTATGTATGTGCAGAACTTACAATATAAAAAATAAATATCTAAACTTCAAGAAAATCAAGAAATTAATATATTTCCAAAGTTTCTCATTCAACGTGAAGAATGTACTTCTTTAGTAGATAAAATAAATTTACCCAGAGAGATTGTTAGGATACGTTTAGAGAATTTGAGTTGTCTAAACTCTCAGCGATCTCAGAACGCCTCGATAAATCCAATCCAGTGAAGATTAAGTTTATAATGGGTTTCTTAAGTGATTAAATGTATATTTTTGCGACTATTCGGGGCAAAATATCGAGTTCATTCGCTGAAGGATACAATTTTCTGTCACCCGGCAAGGATCTTGAGAGATTGCTGAAAACTGAAGAGTGACCAAGAATGGGCGAAAACAATTACTTATTAAAGATCTTTAGGCATTTAAACCATAATGTGTTATTTATACTTTTGTAATATCAAAGAGAACGACTTGCGATTTTCCTCATATTTGAGATTTGTAGACATTCATGTATTTGTTAAGGAGAGATATAGAGAGATTGGAAATATAATTTGTCCCTCTGAGAAGTCTCTGAGATGTCAACAAGAACCTTTTTTGGACAATCCTTGAAAATTCTGGCAGATAATTTGCAAAGACAACTAGGTCTAGTCGTTCTCCACCTCTCCACCTCTGAGAAAATATGTTCTAGAAAAATCCACAAAGAATATGAACGATGTTCAAATATGTCTTAACTTGAGGTATTAAAATACATTTTCCAACAATGTTGTTAGAACCAAAGTAAGTAGCAGTTATCGTCTTTAAACTGCTATTAATAGTAATAATGAATATGACAGAATCATTGATATGTTAATTAGCTGTCAAACATATTTATTGCTATGCGAATATATCTTTTTCAAATTATGTTTCTTCAATATTCTTTTCCACGGCTTGAAAATAAGAGGTTTAAAGGCTTCCAGTTATGCGAACAGTATTATTAGTAAAGGATTCACCACCCCCTTTAATGTTTTATGCACAGTTGAATTTTTGTAACAGTGTAATCGGGATTCAAATGCAATATCTAGGCATATGAAGAATTTCACACAAGAAGAAGGGGAAAATCCATATCCAGAAAAAAACCCAAAATAAATTAACAACAAAACAAGAAGGCTTCAGTATATATCCGATGTTGGGGTAAGAGAGAAGTTTCTTCGAAGAGGTTATAGTCAGTAGGCTATTATATGAATTTACATGTAAATATATAAACTGTAAAACCTTAAAGTGTGAACATAGCTTGAAGAATTTTAGATATTATTTTGGAGGAACAATATACCCCTTGATTAAATATGGATTTCCTTTTAAAAAGTGGAATTTTAATTTTCATTTCAAAAAATTTTTATTTTTTGTTTCTGAATTGATTATCAATCGTTAAAAGCATCAAGTTCTAATTTTATCCAAAATGTCCAACTACAGGAGCAAGAGATGGCAAATGTAAATGAAAAGTCATAAAGTGTAACAGGTTAAAATGCACCTGTCAGACAATTAAGGTTTCATATGTCTTGAAAGCTAATGTATTAATGAAAGTTATGGCATTTAGCATTCTATAAACACTGTGTGGGGTTGAGTTGTAAAACAAATGAGTTTTATTTTAATTCCCTATGTGCAAGAATAGCAGTTTCCTTGTACATTTGATCAGATGGGATACTTATAATTTTATTCAATACTTGAATTAATCATTGGTTGTCCATCTAACATAAAAATGAATCTGAGCTATATCAATCTGCAATTTTAATTTTAATATATAAATCAGCATTTTTTTATATATATTTTTAATGATTGCACAAAAGGTTTTGTCTTTTTTATGTGTATATGGCATCTTAATCAGACTGTTAGAACAAATATAAACTGGACAATCATAATCATGCTAATGAACTGCTATAAAAAGGCTACTTACGGAAATGAGATGTAATCCTGTCATATTTTCTTAATATCTTTTGAAGACTATTTTCAACATTATAACAAGAAGCCAAAAGTACTTTCCAAGCTTGCCTGATAAATAATATTTAAGTTCTTAAGTAAATAATTATTAAAAGAATTTTTTTTAAATATTAGTGCTTTCAATTAACTTTCATCCAATAAAAATATCTTTGGTTATTTATCAAAAAGTATAAACAAAGTACTTCATTTATGAAAAGAAGATTTTCTTACGAAACCTAAAATTCAAGCTCCTAACCACCATCATAACCTAAGCCACTTTGGGGAAAATGGTGCAATATATTTTTCATTCAAAATTCACGATATAAAAAGTGGCGCTTAAAGTCAGCATCTTGTAAACTTTATGGTCGATATAATAACCTTGTTAGCGAATACAATCTAGGTTTATCATTTGTTAGGTCTGTATTTTTAAACTAGATTTCCTAGGTTTTTTTGTATTTTTGACAAGGAGATCACGGCAGGTATGATTGGTCGACAGGGGATGCTTACTTGTCTGAGACAACTGATCTCAACTCTGGGAAATTTCGTGTCTTATGCCCTCTTCAAAGATTGGTATTGTTGATGGAGCTTTTGAGAAATCGATAAATGTTCATTATCTTCACCCTTTTCCACAAAAGGCAAAAGTATGTAATCAAGATCTATTTTTGAAAAACTGAAGTCCAAGGCTTTAGAAATATTATTAAATATTGTTAAAGCCAAAAGGACTTGTCTAAAAAATAACTATGAAACATGAAAGTCCAAGCACCAACTCGTCAAAAGTTAAGTTATGGCCATGGTAAAAGTATTTAAAAAGTCCAATTCCAAAGGCATGGTCAAAAGGGTTAATGATACTCAAGGGAAGATATTGTTAAAAGAAAGACACATGTGAAATATAGAATCTTAGAACCAAATGTTCAATAATTATGGCTAAGGTCAATATTGTTGGTAGTTGAAGAAAAGTCTTGACACAAGAAATACACCTGTTTTGTATATGGTTTAAAGTAAACTGAACGTTTTTTAAAAGGTTGGTCAAGCTCATTTGGCAAGGCAAAGAAGTCAAAATTGTTAATAACTATGGAAAGATTTTGTCAATTACGAGTGAAGTATGAAAACCCATGCAACAATTTTTCAAAAGCTGAAACAAAGGTTAACAATTCGTATATTTAGGCAAAAGAGGATCATCTTCGAGGTCTAGAGGTAAAAAAAAAGCTTGTCAGAAGAAAGACTCAGTTGAAATATGAATACCAAAGCTCTACCAAATCAAACGTTATGGCCGAGGTTACAGTTTTTTAAAGGACAAAGAGTGTTATACATTATTTTAATTTATACAAAATTTTATTCACAGAATGAATGGGACTGGGCAGCAGGCAAAGCCTATTTTAGCCCTCTCCCTAAGTGTTATAAATGGTTCTTGATGTAAACTGTATATTCAACATCTTTTTTCCGACATCTTATCAAAGATTGCAAAAACGTAAAATGTAATAAATAAAGTGAAATCATTATTTAAGTTCAAAGATTGATGTTGTTATATAAACGTTTTTTTATTCAAACACAAGCACCAGGGGGTCTTTGTAATTTTTTCGGAAAATTAAAATGTATATATACATGTAAGTGTTATAGATTTAAATTTCGTTGGAAAGTGTTTGAACATACCCCGTCCTTCCAAAATATATGTGAATGATATTTAGAGAATCCCGGTTACTGAAGTCAGATATATGAATAGAATTATTTTCACCTTCTCAGATTGATTTTATGAATGTTTAGTTGTAAAATACAAGTAAACGTTCTCAAATGTAGTTTTTCACTTTCTTTTTCCCCCTCCATAAGTATTAATTTGCAGATATTTGCTGCAGCGTTGTTTAACATATATCAATTGCATGTTTAATTTTCTTCATTTTTCATGTTCAACCTTTATGTTTATTTCTATTTGTTATTCTATAAAATATTGGAACCTTTATTGTCTTGAAAGGTAATTAAGAAAATAGTAAATAATAGATCAGAGTTAGCTGACAACAATGATAGCTCATTTACATTTTTAAATGTTTATAATAAAGTTACATGAAGATGCTTGGTCCTATTTCGATTTAAATTAAGATTATTTTTAAATTATAATAACATATATCATGTTGATGTTAGAAAAATAATGGATAAATTACAAATGGTCTGATCGTTTTATAGTTCCCAAAATAGAGTTCTAGGGGTATATATACTGAGGCGAGTTACTGCTTCTTACAAACCGCTCCCCATCACCAGGAGAACTGCCGCCCAACAAAGGAGGTATGCATCAGTTTTAATATTCCATTTCAACGATTCTTTCCATTGTTCATTCTTTCTTTCATTCATTAATTTATATTTTTCTTTAAATAAATCAAGTTTGTTGGTTTTCTCATTTAAATATTATATAGTAAAACTATTTTTATACTTATATGAATATATATTATATGAAAATTCAGAAGAATTAAATGTACAATTTAATCTGCTAAGTCTATTTAACACCAATATAATACTAATAAAATAATTAAAAAATCATCGCTTTTCAGACAATGCTCAGAATAATCTCCCTTGCTTGTATTGTTGCCTATGTCGTTGGGGACGGCAATTCATTCCAGTATAATAATGTCCCCGGATACAATGACATAGGATTCGGTGTGCAGAACTCTTATGGACCCTATGCCTTACAGAACAACTATGATAACGGTTTTAATGGCGGTCTCAGCGGAAATTACGTACCTCATTACTTCGGTTTCAATTACGACTTTGGGGGTTCCGCTGTAGCTGGTGCTGCTGCTTCCTCTGACGATTTTGGAAGTTCTGCTGCATCTTCTGCTTTAGCTGCCGGTCTGGGTAGCGCAGCCGCCGGTGCTGCTGCTTCTACTGGCGCCGCCGCATCTGCTGCCTCTGCTGTAGGATCTGGAATGTTCGGAAACTACCAATACTATGCTCCTTACACTCCTTCTTATCCATCATACTTGTACCTCCCAAATACTTACGGCAATAGATTTGGACCCGGATACGGAAGTTTTGTTGGTGGATCAAATTCATACAAAAGGCCTATCAGAGGTTTTCCTAGATTCCATAAAAGGGAAAGATCGGTAAGTATATATACATGCATTACTCTTTCTTAAGTTACATACATAATTTTTAAAATTTATCTCTTTAATTTATTTTTTTTTATTTTGTAGGTTTACTAAACAGAGGGACACACGATAAAAACCAGTAGTTTTATAAGTATTAAATAAAACAAAAGAAAAATAGTGTCTTTTGTTCATTTGGTGAATTCGTAAAATCATTGGAGATTCAGTAATGGTTGAAAGGTACAGTCTTTTTCCTAAAATTAAATAAAAATTGTCATGAGTGTAAACATAGCTATCAAAAGTTTAAGCAAACTTCAACACTTAATATCATTTGGATTTTTGTCAATGAAATATCTTCATATAATGTTTTATTTTTTCTATAGAGATTTCCGTGACAAAAAGTACCAATCAAAATAAATGCTTTATGCATGCTTTGACGTAGACTTTAATGCTGCAAGAAATATTAATGTTAATTCAACAATTTTACATACGTTCAATGCTTAAGAGAAAATAGAGACAATTGAAAATAAATATCCTGTTGTCATGTACATCTAGGGCTTTAACTTCAGGTAGCAGTAATGGTTACATCCCTTCTTTTTATGATAGAGCCAAAAACGGATTAAACATTCTGAAATTCCGTAAGAAAGATATATTCTGCTTCGTGGCAAACAAAACGCAGATGTTGAATGGGATAACTGATCTCTTGTAAATTAAAAATTCTTTGAAAATTATCAAAGTAGATCTAGAATTTGCATGGATTATTACTGGTATCAAACTCGTACTTCTTTATAGAACAATGGTGAAGATAACGGATGGATATCTATCTCATTAAAACTTCAAATGATATCAGTGCATCAAGACGGAATCCTGAAAATTCAACAGCCCGGCCAGATGCCCATGAGGAGTAAGCGATGATATAAAACTGTATCTTTCTACTGTATAAATGTGCATGGTGAAAGGGAAACAGTTAAAATTGACATCCCAAGATCACAGCATTTTCAACATACTCGTAGGAAACTTAAAAGCGTTATAAATTTTTTATTTGATCAAGGTCTTTCTGATCTTTGGGAGTTCGTCGTGATGTTCACGTTAAGATTTTTTTGTCACAAACATCATTCGTATAGTGAAAGTCCTATACTATTGATATAGAATGCTGTGCACTCATTGTTTTAAAAATAGAGCTTTGATTTCTAGAAAATGTTTGTGGATATTAACTCAATTTTGAAAGCATGTCCCTATTATTACGAAACTGGTCTTGAGATCATGGTACATTTAAAGAGTTGCCGTCATAATTAGCTAATAATTGATTGATCGAGAACTGGCAATTTAAGATTGTAAAAGTTTTATACCATAAGTGTGCTTATAACAGCGCATTTGGCAACCAATGGAATGTTGAGAGATCTCGACAGATTGCTGAAAACGTAATAACAGACCTTATTTCATATTCATGTCAAACAGAATTTTTTGAAAAACCTGTACATGACATGAAAAAAATGATTGCTGTGACCTTTCATTTGACATTCAGATTCAATTAACAATAGTTAGAAACAATTAATCATGATTAACATTATCAATTATTTATACTTCATACTTCCATTCATTGATATATACCACAACTTCTGACAAATCTAGCTACTTGTATTTCATATAAATATATTTAACGAGAAAATTGCGTAAATGCTAAATTAACAACAAATATTTAAAACAAACGTGCTGACTTCATTTTTTCCTATCTTCAACTTTCCTTTATTTATGTAGCAAATATCATTATTTTGTTCATACGGGGTTTATGTTACCCAGTCGGTTCTGTACCCAAGAAAATTATTTCATAGTAACAAAGTTTTATATTCATCCACATATGATTCACACCATATCTTAAATATTGTTGTTCAATTACCGTGATGTCTCTACTTCACTGATGTAAATATTTTTTGTAAACTTGAATTAATCCTGTTTGTTATCCCTGTACATTTCATTATCAAGATTTTAAAAAGTTTAATAATCCAGCATAGTACAAATTATTCTCATCGTAGGGGAAATTATTGTCATAGAATTAAAGTTGAAAAGCTCAGATAACGATCCTTTAAAACAAAGACAATGTTGTTACCTGCTTTGTCATCTAGTACCCATACTGATCCTGTAATTAACTGAAAACAAAAGGATAATGTTTGCCCTCAGTCGCTTTATGTGAGATTTCAACATCCCTCTGATACTTTTAATGCATTCTGACAAAGTGACCAGGTGTTCTTTTTCATATCTGTCCCATCACCCGAATTTATTAAAATTTATAGTATTATGTAATGAAAACGGAAATCAAAAGTTCGGAGTTCCCTACATTTTTGCCCTTTTGAAAAAAGTGATTTAACGCCTTGATTATTAACTACATTTACATCACCAGTAATGAAGTGTCCAGCAGGACGTACTTTGAAGGAAAACGCCAACTCGTTTAATTTTTATTCCACAAATGTTTGATATCTAGGCACAGAAGAGTATTTTTTGGAATTAAAAACTTAGAAGCAATACTTGATGTGTATTAGTAAGAAATACAAGACCTCAACTTGAAGATGATGAAACACACGTCTGGATCTTTTTTGTTTTTCAAGACATATCAAATGCGTCAATTTTTTTGCTGACATATTGGGCTTTTATGTATTTATTTTCATAAAACAGGTATATTTAAGGCCCCATCTTTTTACCCTAAAGTATAACAAAGAAAAGATGAATATCCAATAATTTCCTTCATTTTACACCTTTTATCAATTCTAATCATTTTATAATACACATGTATTTATTTCATTCTGTGGTCTAATAAATAAAACACCTTCAGTCTAAATAACATAATTGAAAAAAGTCACGTTTCTGTCATTACAACAAAGGACTACGTTCACCTTTTGTAAATTTACAAAACGTAAATCGGTAAACGATGGTCCAAGTAGTGAAAAAGGTGTTGTTACAGATATGTACATATACAACACATGGACTGAGAACTGCAGAAGGCAGGGGTTACAATTTTTTACAATGTAAAAAATATGCTCTAAAAGATTTTTATTTGAAAAAAAGTCCACAAGTAAAGTCTTTATTAACAATGAAAAATTATTAGTTCAATGATTGATTTACCGGCAAGTGCAGTCTTTACCATGTCATGTACTTTAAAAAGTATAGATATTGATTTTTTAAAAAATCAACTACTCTCTCATTGCATAACATAAAGAATAAAGGCACCGAGTTAATAATTAAGAACAAAGTAATATATGCAGATTTGACACATCTATCATTTTTATGTTAAGTCATGAATTAAGGGTCTTTTTCGTACTGTCTGTTTGAAGAACTTAATGACTAAGAGATTAAAGTTCATCTATAACAAAGAAAAATATATGATTTGTCACCTTTATACTGCAATTAAAGGGACCTTCTTGAATTATAATACTATTCTTATTACAAAAGGGATGTAAATTGATTTTAATGGTAATGCTTCTCGACTAAGTTATGTTTTAAAATTTATATTTACCTTCGAAGTAATTTGGTCAGTCATCACATTGAACTACACACCTTGATGAAGGAAAGATTAAATAACCTTACCATTAAACAAGTGAAATGGTTATAGAACTTCCTCACCAAGCCCAGTATTACCATGAAAACGGACAAGACTTATGGATTATAACAGGAATCCACATAAAAGCATATAATGAAACAATACATTTAATTTTAATTTTTTCTACTTAACATCGCAACACCTTAATGTTATATTGCGGATTCTTTTTAGAATAAATGAAGTTTTCGACATCACAAGCACAATATATTATTGCTATAAAGTATTCACAGAAATCACTTGTAATTTTAATGTTAAAAATTAAATTCATTTTTTGTTGATAAAGAAAAAAAACATTAAACGACAGACACCTGAATGCATTTAGATGGAATTAGAGTTCAATATATATAATAACAGAAAACCTTCAAGGCTGGAGTTTGGATACTAGTAATTGTTGAATTAGTCTATATAAAGTTCTGGCGACGTAACTGCTCAGGTATCCCAAAAAGTTGGAAAAAAGATTTGAATTGTTTATCTATTTCCATTTCATGTATCAAATTATTGAAAGATCTATGATTGAAATATTGGAATTGCTTAAGAAATCCTTTAACAATTATTTTAATGAAATATTAATAGAGAATACACGTAAGAATAATATAATATATAATTTGAATATTCATAGTTTAATTCCTGTTGGCGATTAATTTTTTTTTTGAATTTTGCCTTAGTGTTCAACACGTCTTAGACGTGAATTAAACCAAGAATGTCTATTTTATTTGATCATTTTTGAAGACATTAGAAGTATACTTTTTGAAAGCTAATTAAAAAAAATTAATTACAAAAGACTTCCTTTCATAAGCATGTCATTATGTAAATCAGTACTCTTTATAATTTCCATTAATTTGATTGCCAATTCATTGACATTGCCAAGGCAACCATTTTAAACCAACATTCCACCATGACGTCATGTATTTTAAATGATATATAAGGGGAACCTTTGCTCTAATATTTGTACAGCCAAACAGTTGTCCAAGACACCAGACCGAACAAAAGAAGGTAAGAAACTTAATTTTTTCCTAAATTTTAGGTACAGTATTTAAGACAGTAAAAAAGTTATAATTTCTACATGTTACAAAATCTTTTGTTAGAGTATATTTTGTTTTGAACAATATGAATTTTGAGAGGTCTAACATATTATCATTAGAATAGTTTCTCATTCAATGTTTTTCATTATTAATTATCCAGGAACCAAAAATATTTTCACACCACTCCAACCTTTGTACTTTCATATAACCCCACGATTCCATTTTCGACAAATAAAAATAGTTGGTTGTACAAAACATTGTGTTCCTATTACTAAAATAAAAAAATAATTGCTTGTTTAAACAGGACTGATTATTAAATTTTAAATCAAAAACATTATTAATTGTTATTTCCTTTTCTTCCACAGGATGCTGCGACTCATTGCCGTTACTTGCATTGTTGCCTGCGTTTTCGCAGACTCCTACTACCCCAAGTCAGGAGGATGTGGAATTTACGGTTGCAACTACGGGTACCAAGCACAAGGCCTATATGGTAACTTCGGAGGACTCGTAGGCACTGGTGGTAGTGGGCTAAGCACTGGAGGTTTCAACAGTGGATTGTTCGGTCTTGGTGGAGGATCAGCTGCCGCAAGCGCCGCCGCCGCCGCTGGGGATGCTGCTGCTGCCTCCTCTGCTGCCGCTGCTGGTGGAAATGCCGCCGCCTCATCAGCCGCCGCTGCTGGTGGTTTAGGTTGGAACCAATACTACCCAAACCAATACTACTCTGGGCAATACAACTACTTCCCTGGAGCCTATAACAACTTTGTTTCTGGATACAACTACTACCCAGGACAGTACTACTCCGGCTATTACCCCACACAGTTCCCATACTACGGAATCGGAGGTGGATCTGCCGCCGCTGCTTCTGCCGCTGCCGCTGGTCAGAGCGCCGCTGCCTCTGCCGCTGCTGCCGCTAGTCAGATGAACGCTGCCGCCTCCGCTGCTGCTTCTTCAGGATTCAATGGATTTAATGGAGTCGGAAACGGAATCATTGTTGGTGGAGGTTACGGAGTCCGAAGACCCAGAAAGGTATTAAGAAGTGATTTACTTTATCTAAAAAAAATACTACGCTGAAAAATAATTGGTTTTAAAGCATTATATCCCCTTTTTCATCCTGGTGATTAAACATTAGCAAGGTATCGCAAAGATAAATTATTTTATTCGTTCATTATTTTGGTTAGAATTCCGTTTTTGATTTTGCTACTTTGTCTAGTAAATGCTGAATAACTTTCCTTCTTGTTTTTGTCGGATGATCTGCGAGAAACTCATGTAGAAAGAAACATTGTTTACCAATACAATGACCAATAATATTTTTTCTTATTACTTTCAGGTTTACTAAATAAATGGAAACGACCGGAAGCTTGTGTATGGTATTGAATGATTGTATTTATTGTATATTAAATTCTTCATTTATGCAGCATATATGGCTATTAGTTTTCAATTAATTTTACCAATGCTATAACAACATACATTACATATGTACAAGTGTATAACTACGTATAGAACTCAAAATACCCAAGAAACTAATTGTACCAGTATTTGCAATTGGAAAATTTTAATTTAAAACTGCAAGAGGGGCTTCTTATCGTGAACAAAGTTTGTGCTTAATTATCACAATTGATAACAGAACAAACCAACAGGTGCTTTAGAAGAGTAAGCATTGACTGTCGACTTAACAAACTCGCACTGAGTCTTAAGTCTTCACCAGGTAGAAGAGGAAATACGTTTTTCAAAATGACCTAACATTTCCCACTAAAATAAGCTCAGTTATTAAAGTGAAAAGAAAAAATCTACAATGCTTTTTTTTTTTTTTTACAAATGGACTTTTCATACCTAAAAACAAAAGCCTTAATTAACATGGACATATCAATATTGCCTTTCCTTTTTCAGCATTGAGTAAAACGTACAAAACACAACAGTAGGGATCTCCTTAAGCCTTAAATTACTTTAACCATACCTCTGCTATTGTGATTTGTACGTTTTACTCAATGCTGAAAAAGGAAAAGCAATACTGATATGTTGCATTTTCAAACATTCCTGATTTCCCTTTTGTTTTAAGCTCACCTGAGCCGAAGGCTCAATTCAAATAATTTTCTTAACTTTCAAATCAAAATTTGTCCTGCACAAATGTCTGTCGTCGTCGTTGTCGTTGTTGTCGTTAACTTTTCACATCTTCATCTTCTTCTCAAGAACCACTGGGCCAATTTCAAACAATCTTGCCACAAAGTATCCTTAGGTAAAGGGGATTCAAGTTTGATCAAATAAAGGGCCAAACCCTTTTCCAAGGGGAGATAATTATGAATTAGAGAAAAATTGATGGCATTTTTAAAAACTCTTCTTCTCAAGAACCACTGTGCCAGGAAAGATGAAACTTATGGGGAATCATCCTCAGGTAGTGTAGATTCAAGTTTGTTCAATTCATGACCCCCGGGGCTAGGGTGGGGCCAAAATGGCCGACCCAAGTTTTACATAGGAATATATAGGAAAAATCTTTAAAAATCTTCTTCTCAAGAACCACTGGGCTCAGGAAAGATGAAATTGTACTCATATATATATATATCATCCTCAGGTAGTGTAGATTCAAGTTTGTTCAATTCATGACCCCCGGGGCTAGGGTGGGGCCAAAGTGGCCGACCCAAATTTTACATAGGAAGGTACAGGAAAAATCTTTAAAAATCTTCTTCTCAAGAACCACTGGGCCAGAAAAGATGAAACTCGTGTAAAATTATCCTCAGGTAGTGTAGATTCAAGTCTGTTCAAATCATGACTTCCGGGACTAGGGTGGGGCCAAAATGGCCGACCCAAGTGTACATAGGGATGTAGGGAAAACTTTTAAAATAAATCTTCTTTCCAAGTAATTCAAAGCCATGATTAGTGATATTTATGTGGAATCATCCTCAAGTAGTGTAGATTCTAGTTTGTTCAAATCATGAATCCCTTGGGGGTTAAAATTCAACCCCCCCCCACCTCAGTAAACTTTCTGTTCTGATATATACATTTCATGATCTGATATGTGCTTTTTCCTAGCCGATGTGCTCAGGTGAGCGCTGTGGCCCCTGGGCCTCTTGTTTTAGTTCATTCACCACAGATTAAGCATTTTTCTTAGATATTAAAGATTAATTGTATTTAATTAATTAAAGTTTGTGCAATATTATAAGATTTCAATATATTTTTCAAATAGAAGAAAAATCTGAACGCCCATCTATAATTTACCCAGTATCAATCAAACGGATTAAACTCTAGCATGCAAGCTTAAAATTCTTCAGTAAATTTTGCCGAAAATACAATTCAAATAATATGGTATGTCTCTTTTGATTGATAATCACTTAACTTTCTTCACTTAACTTTCAAAGCAGGTACCGGTATCATTAATACAAATATTGTCTAGAGTTGGGGGCAACATTGATTATGTTAAAAAAAACAATAGAAACTAACATGATCAAATTACAAATAGAGTCACAAACTTCTAACATTTCTAGAAACTAATTGATGTAAATAGAATTATTTGCATCTCATACATTATTTACAAGCATTCTGTCTGTAATTCATTCTAGCAAATCTTACCATTATAATGTCATCTAATTTAATGAGTTGATGTAATTCTAAGTTCTTTTTTTAACTTTGCGAAGATATTATGTCTTAGGACATCTGTCTAGGAACCAGATTCAAAGTATATAAAATTGTAGGGAAAACTTATTGCTAATATTCTTAAATATCTGTGGCGTGTAATGAACTTTTATTCCTGCATATATAAAATCAAGCTTAAGGCTACTTTTTATCATATTAAATCTATTGAGTTAGAATTTAAATTGTACTGATAGTGAAATAAGTATTTTGACTTGTAATTACGGGGAAACATAATTTTTTTTATTTAGTATACGGCCATATAATGATCAAATTAGATTTAAAAAATTATCGAGTGTTTTCTCTTTGATATTGTAAAAATGCTAAATGCTAAAACTGTATGTATAAATGTAAATGTTTATTTGCTAAATAATAATTTTGAAAAAAGTGCTATTTTTATTAAAATTAATACAATTTTTTTTATATAAAAGTCATTAATTTCTTTTTTTCAAATAAGAAAATCAAATTATTTTAAGTAACTTACAAACTGACAAGGAAAAATATACTTAGTAATTCATCAATTGACGTACAACAAAGAGAACAAGAAAGCTTTTTTGCTGTATAATATAGAGCCACAAAGAGTACAATATAGTCAAACTGTTTTCCAATGTAGATAGTCAACAAAGAAAACAATATGGCTACCTAATGTTAACACATCCGAGTACATTTTTATGAAATTCTTTGTTTTCTCAATACCTGGAATCGGGTATTGCAGGCTGCATAAATATGATTTACCTTGTCTTTGGTCACTTGTAACTTAATTTTGTCAAAAGCATTGTACACATGTACTCTGAAGTTTACATTAAAGAATGCTTTAGTATATAACAATATCCATGTAGTTTATTGGTACATGTACCAGATCTTCCAACAGTCTGTCGGAATTACATTGAACACCGATAACAGTTGCACTCTGTTATTAGCAGACCTATTATTGTAATCATTTGAAGCATGTACTCAAAAACTTATAAAAGAAAAAAATAAAACAACTGTTCTTGTCTTCAACTGTACGACTAACAACTAACGATTTTTACTTCCATTAAATATATCGAATTGATATATCACAGTAAACTTGAAATGAAAAATACTTCAAGCTCTGCGACCTCTGTTTCATATTTATTACTATATAAGAAAAAAAAATATGGTATCCTACGAATAAAACTCTGTGATAAACGTGATTGCTTCCATTTTGAATCGTCAACTTCCTTACTTATGTAGCGATATGTATCCTGCATATATGTCTGTCAGTCGCGTTGATACGCAAAACATGCTCTGAAACGAACGCGTCCTTAAACGAGGGAAATCTATTGATAAAGAAGTTGATGGAGAGGGCGTTTTAAGTTTTTAGAACTTGTGCCCAATCCCTTTGTAATTATAAATAATAATTAAATATGTTCAAACCAGAAGTCGATGAACCAAGATTATCAAAAGTCTTGTTTGATGTCATCATTGCACAAAGTCTATGGTCGATGACATTATCATCAACTACAATCTATCATAAAGTCAAATGCTGGCTAATGTCCTTTGTTAAAAAAATGTGTTGAAAGGTACAAGACATCACTTCTCAGAAAAAATCGAAAGCTGCATTATAGGAAATATATTCCTCGTAGAGAAAAAGATGACATACAAAGTTAAAAATACACAAATATAAATTAAACTCAAAACTACTCTAAAAAAATCAGCGTTTGATTTGTTTTGTGTTATTTTAAATTAAGACACAAATGCTAGTTTTTTTTAAAATAGATGCTTACGTGACAGAAAACATGGAATATGAATAATAAATTGTTCAATGTTTTGCAATCATAGGATTCAACAAATGAAGATTCGAAGAAATACAGTTTTAAAGAGTAGTCAATGTCAAATTATTAATGCTACGATCTTGAACGCAGCCCAGGTGTCGTAATCCTAAGGAAATATTCCTCTAAATGTTTTGTCGGTTTACTCAATAGAGGTGCCAAAATGATTAATGCCTTCAGAAAATACACACACAAAACGACTCTTTTAACAATAAGCGTTCTTTTTACATGTATTCTTTTTCCCTTTGCACGGGAAATACATAAAATTTGACATTTATATCAACGCAGGTGAAATTAGAATTACATACATGTATATTCTGATAATTCCTAAACATAACTGTTATCTAACTTATGTTAACGTCATAATAAATGTAAATAAGGGCTGGAATTTAATTGATTTTCTTTTGTTAGCGATTTGTCACTTTAACCACAAAATATTTTTTTTTTTGCACAATTAAATAAAAAGGTTGGCTTGTGAAAACTTCTTGTTCTCCGAATACATTTCATGTAATTAAAGGAACTCCTCACATGTAAACATTGAGCATTAAACCATATCGGGTTACTGTTAAGAAAGGTTAAAATTCAATTTTCCTTTCTGGGTTTCTTTCCATTTTTCTAACTTTTTTATTTTATTTCTGCTCATATTAATTCCTGATTTCCTCTAAAACTTTTGTTTAAAAAATAAAAATAAATACTTTAAATAGTGTTATCCCTGTCGTCTGAAAACGAATAAATGGACTGGTTATTATTATATATCGGCTAAGAGTTAAATCTTTAGACTACAAGAAAAAAAATGACGTTAAAGCAAAGTTTAAAAGTTTGATTTTGACAACCATAATTAACAGATTTTTTTATTTTAATAAAGGAATCATAGATTTTAACCAATTATTACTACCCATCTGGATTTTCTACTGTCCTTATTAATTGGTCATTATCTTTAAACTTCATTTATCACTCTGTAATATATGCACATGTTCAAGTGACAAGAACAAGAAGTATAAAGCC